GCCAGGGTCGAGGGTCCTGCTGCCGAGTGCGGGTCTTTAATATTCGTCTTTTGGAAGGATCAAACCTTCCATTTCCATGGAAACACAAACCTTTAGGTGCCCAGCCTCAGGGTCTCTGCATTCCTCCAGAGAGGCTGGGTGCTTCTCCTGTCACACTCCTCGCCACCAGGATTAACTGAATAACCAGGTCAAAAGCAGTGCCTGAATTCAGCTCAGCAAGAGGCCGCTCTCATTACATCTCTATTTCCTTGAAAAGTGGATTTGCACCAGACCAGACATTTTTAAGGCACAGGGAGGCACCAAGCTAAAGAGAGATGTACGTTTTCCAGGTTAACAATGATTTTCACCTGCTCCAGCCTGGAATCACCACAATAGCAGCACGCAGGTTATCAGAGAAAGGCTGAAAGCACAGCTTGCTGCCCTGACTCCGTGTTGGATTTCTGAGAGGCTGGCAGCTGAAAAGCTGATCCAATTTATCCACAGTTCATTATCCAGCATAGCATGACACTGGGACACTCACAGACATAATCCAGCTTCCTCCTGCCTTGCAAGATGTATTGACCAAAGGCAAGAAAACAGAGCATTAATAGCTCTCCACTGTGCAGCTGAATCTGGGCAGCAGCAATGAGATTCTTTGGGCTATTTCTATCCAGTCTCACACAAGAGTAAATCAGAAGCTTCTACAGACTTTCCATTAAATTTCTCCCCATTTATACCAACATAGCAGAGATCAGAATTTATCCTTTTTTTTTTTTTTTTTTTTTACGTTTTTCTGATATTTTAAAAAATGCTAAAACTCTTCAGCTTCTAGCTGAGCTTAAGATAAAAGTTAACCTCTGAACCACAGCAGTATCTTTCATGTAAGGCACAATACAGAGAGGGCTTTTTGCAGTGGTTTTGCTCAGTAATGTGTGTTTCAGACGGTGTTTTCCCCCATCCTCACCTGACTCTGGGAGGCAGGCTACAAGGAGCCACTAAACTTCACAAGAAATTTCTGAAGGTGGCAAGAGGCACCAAGAGTGCCCATGGAATGAGACTGGCCAGGAGTGAGTACGAACCTTGCTCCATTCCTGGGATTCTTCTGAGCCAGTCGGGACGTGCCACGGAGCACCCTGTTCCAGTGGGAAGTGTCCCTGCCCATGGCAGGGGGTCAGAACACGATGATCTTTGATCCTTTCCAACCCCAACCGTCTGTGATTCTGTGATCAGTAAGAGGAGAGAGGGGCCCTGTTCTCTACCCCCCGACCACCTGAACCACCCTTGAGAGACCATATTTTGTGCCCTGGCAGATGCCCCAGGGCAGCGTGAGGGCTTTGTAATAACCTGTTATCTGATCTGAGCTCTCTGGCCTTTCCTCTCTGGCAGACAGTCCTTCAAACCCATTCAGGGATGATGAGTCACTGAAGAAGCACTTAAAAACCATCCTGGATGATAAGGTTAGAGCTATGTGTGGTGCATTTCCTGCCCTAGTTTGGAGTTATGCTGGGGCTCTCCGCACTTCCTCGCTTATTCCACTTTCTTTCTCCTTCCAAATTCCCCACCATGCTAAGTTGCAATACCTCAAGCAGTTCAGTGGAGATTCATCAGGACTCAGTGACCGCGCTGGGCTTCAACAGGGAGCAGGCAGCAAGGATGGGTCAGGTTTGGGGAGGCACAGCCTTACCTGCCTCGAAGGGCAGAGAACACCTGTGGGAACTTTGAGCTGCTGCAGGGATGCCACCAGCCAGGAGCTGCTCCTCGCTCGGCTGAACAAAGCAAATCACCTCAGCCACGCAGCGTGTGGCTCCTTTAGACCCTTCACCATGCTCATGGCTCTCATCTGGACAGCCTCTAACAGCTTTATAACTTCCTTGCACTGTGGTGCTCCCCAGGACTTGAGGTGAGGCTGCACAAGGGCAGTGGGTCACCTTTGCCCAGGCAGGTCACCTGCAGGCAGGAGAAGGTGACCCCTGTGCCCAGGAGCTGAGCGTGGGCTCATGACAGCAGCATTAAATCCTCAGCTCTGCCAGGCTGAAACCCTGCAGGTGAAACCCACCTGGCCCACAGCCCTGGCTCACAGCGTCCCCCTCGCTACCCGCAGCGGAGGACAAGAAATTTGCCTTACATTACTGAAATGATTATTCTTAATACCCAGACACTGGTCATATTCCTGAGGAAAAGGAAACATAAATCCCTCCCTGCACTGGCAGCAGCAACCCTCATCCCTAGATAGGAGAGAGCTAATTAAACCTGCTCGTTCCAGCCAAGCCCGGCCGGCGTGTTTGTGCGAGCTTTGCGGTCAGAGCACGTGAAGGATTTGGCCCCATTTCCCCATTTTCATTAATCACAGGGAAAATTCTCCACTTAGAAACAATGCTGGAGATATACCTGATAGGGCTTTTTTCTCCCTTGGCCACTTCCCACTTGGCAACAGGGACGAAGTTCTGCCTTTGCAAAACATTTTGAAACGTGTTTCTGTTCCAATTCAGAATCACCCACCCCAAAGCTTTCCAGGTTATCTGTAAAATAAAACCTAGAGAAATTGATGGCTTGAAATGCTTCAAACTGATAAACTCAAAATATATTATTTCAACTGCAATTTTGGTTTGTGTTATAAAGCAGAGTGAAAATGTTAAAAACCACAGAACAAATAGCCTTTGGAAATGGGAAACGTTGTTTTGAAATTGAAGAAATAGAATGTTTTTGCCCTGGGGACCACCTTCCCTTTCCTCCAGAGCTTGACAGAGTTTCACAAAACATTTCAATCTTGATGTGCTGTGTTTTGGGGGGAGCTGAGCTGTGTCTGCTGGGGAGGGTAAGGAGAAACTCCAGGAGCAAAGAGAACGGCTGGAATCCAGACAAGGTGCACGGTGCCACAGTGGGATCGGTCCCTCCAGCTGGGGCTCCAGTGCTGGTTTAGGCTGGGCTTTGGTGCCCCTGAGCCCCATTTCAGCCTCTCTGGTAGGGTCCAGAGGAGGCAGAGGTGTGCAGCTGCTCCGGGATGAGGAGCAGGCAGCCCAGGCTGCTCCACTCCTGTAAAACCCCACCTCAAACGCTTCCCTGGTTATAAATAAAGCAGCTCTGACCTCGGAGATTAATCAGTGGGCTGCTGTCTCTGCGTGATGTCACGCCGTGTTTTTCCACAGGCCTGTCAAGCGTCAGCCCGCCTGACGCGCAGATTTACGGCCGCGTTCCGCCGGCCCTCCCGCACGCACAGCGCACAGATGCCTCCGCAGGGTGATGGACACCGGGGCTGCTCGGCGCAGCGTGGGTATTTTTGGGTGTTGTTGCACCATTTCTGGCCTCCGGTGGCTGCCGTGGCTAACACAGCTGGGTTCGCAGGGGTCCCTCTGAGGCTGGGTGCTCGGGCACATCCAGCTGCTCCAGCAGGAGCCTCTGGGTCTGCTGGGTGAGGAAGGGAGGGATGGAGCCAGGTCCGGGCTGATGCCACGGCAGGGGATGGGTCTTGTGATGGGGAACCAGTTCTCTCCAGTGCACCACACCTGGCCAAGGCCTCGGGAAGGCACAAAAGCTGCTGGTTGGAAACCCAGGTCTGCCCTCAGGGTTTTACTTTCACTGTTTGACCTTCACTCCTGCTTGCAGTTGAACCTACAGCCTGATCCCCTTCCCATGTGTGCCAGGCAGGAGCTGCTCAGCTCCAGCAGGCACCAGTGGGCAGGTGGGAGGGAGGATGTCCCCACAATGTCTGTGCCCAGGTGGCCACGGAGGCCAAAGGGTCACACACACCACGTGGCAAGGCAGGCACTGCAGGTCCGCACAGCACCTCATCAATTAATCTGGGAAGGAACAGAGCAATTAACACTGGAAGCAGGGGTTGACTAGCCAAGCACACGCTGTCACCCTGCTAACAGGCTGCCTTGTGCCTGTTTGTTTGCCTTCTGTTTCTATGGAGGTGGGGGCGTAGCGAAGGGTCAGGTCTGCTCTGCTTGCTTGCATCTATCCAAAACGCATTCTTACCACCTCAGAGCCCGAGGAGATAGCCAGGGGCTAACTGGGGACTGCTCAGCCTTTGGGAGCTGTGCTCTTTTGGGGGATAAAAGATCTTCCTAGCACAGCCAAGTGCTGGGGTCACCAGGACTCAGCACTAGCCACAGGCTCGCCTTTGCTGGAGCAGGTGTAGCTCACAGAGGGCCCTGGGCTCCCATGGCCCTCATGTCCTGCTGCTGTCCCTCAGCAAGGAACCCCTTACCCACCCCAGAAAGGAACCCCTACCCCATCTCCAGACGGCTGGAACTGCTCCTGAGCATCCTCCTTGGCACAGCTTGGGGAATGTGGGGGTGCAGGGCCGGCTCTGCCGGCTGCAGATAGCCCAGCATGGAGCAGGACTGCCTGTCCCAGGCTCACCTCTCTCCTGGGGCTCCACGGGTGCCACTGTGCTGGGCAGTGACAACGTGCAGGGCTGTGTCCCCTGTGTGCTGTGGCTGGAGAGGAAATGAGCTCCAGGGAGGCTCCAGCAGCACACAGCCCCTCACTGATCCCTTCTCTACGAGTCCAGGAGCTTGGCCGAGCTGCATTATCAACCCCAAAATAAGTTCCAAACGAATATGTCTATAACAGGTCTTTGTTCCCTCAGAAAAAGGGCTTCCCATGAGGTGAGCCAGCCTGGCACTGAGGGTTATCCCGGGACAGTGATTTTTCCCGTGATTATGCAAGGCTCCCAGTTATTCCTGGGGCTGCCACGTGAGAGGTGAGCTCCCTCCCAGCACGGGCCCTGGGAGGCACGGCAGCAGCCCCAGCACCTCCCGCTCACAGCCAGGACCTGTGCCTGCACAGGGACAGCAGGGAGCACGCAGGAGAGACCGCTGGAGAGGGCAGGGCAGGCGAGACCCCCCTGCCTCCATCTCCAGACTTCTGCAGAGAAGGGGGATCTGGAACCCATCCATGGCTGGCAAACCCTGTCTGATGGTGCCTGGAGCACACTGCAGCCTGGACGGCACCGATGGAGCAGCTCTTTGGAGCAGGGAATGCTACAGACCAGTCTTGCCCATGCATTTACTTACCCTGTTCTCCTCCTCAGGCATAACGCTGACCATGGACTGCTCCTCTGCCCCTCGCCACAGCTCTGTGTGTGACACCAGGCCCTGCAGCAGCTGTCCCAGCGTCCTGGCATGACCAGGCACCACCTCCAGCACCCAGAGTGAGTCTGTGGAATGAGCGACCTGCTAAGAAAATAGAGAGCCCGTTCCTTTGAAGTTAATGAATCGTGAAAGCCTTTGAAAGCAGAGCCTTGTTTATTTACTCACCACAGCTCATGTGGATGAAGCACCCAGTCACTCTGAGCACTGCTAATTTGAATGGAAGATCAAACATGAGGCTCTGCCCAGCTGGAGGAGTGAGAGCTGCCCGGGCCTCTTCACTGCCCAACACAGGGAGAGCCTCAAAAACCCAGGGCAGTGCATGGGCTCTCAGGTGGCTTTTACGGAAACAAACATCAAATAAGCCACAGGCTGACACAGAAATTCGTTATCCTGGGTGCAAAGCCCTGGCGCCCAGCCTGAGCATTTCACTTCAACACCAAAATTCAGCTGTGACCCTGCATGCAGCATCACCTCCCCTCCCAGGGCTGGCACTGCTGCCTCTTGCCCTCCTCATCCTGAGTTCCAGCCTGGTTAGAGGTCTCTTGCCCAGCCCCACATCACAGCCAAGACCTGCACATGCACATGGATGTCGTGCTTGCCACCTCCTCCCTTTCCCTCCCCACGAGAGCAGGATGCTCAGGCTCCTGTCCTTGTGTAGAAACAACCCAGTGACAGAGAAAAGCCCAGAAAACGGCCACAGCAGAGCATCCAGCATTCTGCCCGCTGTGATGGGTTCTCTAAACAAATTCACAGCCTTCCACAGTCTATAAATATCAGCCTTTCCAGTGCCACCACTTTGGGGATAAGCTGTAATGCAATATTCTGTGTGGGCACTCGGACAAAAGGACAGCACCCCACCAGCATCAGCTTTCTGTCACTGCAGTTTTCTGAAGTATAATTGGATTATAACCGTGTGTGAGCTTCTAGTCCCTGTTTCTCTCAGGCTGGGGAAGTCTCTCTCTGATCTGAACAACAGGAAGAGGAAGGAAAGAGCAAAATGAGCTGAGCTGGATCGAGGGGAGGGGGTCTGGCAATGGGGAAAGGACTTTGGTGGATAATGGGCTTTACAATCCCATTAATTAATCAGGTTTATCACAAAAGTGCTGACAATGAGAGGTGACCAGAATGGCTGCTCACCTCCATGGTGTGGAAGGACCAGGCAGGGACCTGGGGAAGAGGGAACTGCCAGGCAAGGTTCACCAGCTGTCAGTCACCAGTTTTAGGGTGATGAAGGAAGGAAAGCTGAGAGCCCAGGGCAGCTCATCCACTAGCTCTCCCTGCCCCACAGCCACAGGTGACAGAGGCAAGCAGAGAAGGGAGAACCCTCGCCAAATGAGTGCAAAGGGCTGCGTCTGAGCTTGGCCACTGACAGCCGGTGGCGGCTCCTGCTGTGGCCAGCACCATCGAGGGAGTGTGTGCCCACTGTGTCCCTGTCCCCCAGACCGCTGCCGGCAGCTCCGCGGGCGCCTGTGGGGTCTGCACCGCCTCGGCCCCGTGGCTGGCACCAGCGGAGCCGCCAGCTCCCGGCGAGGCGGTGTCCGAGCGCTGCCCGCTCCTGCCCGCCCCGGGGCCCCGCCGAGCGCGGATCACCGGCGCTTCCCACCCAGCAGTGACACCTGGCGGGGGCGAGCGCGGGCCGAGCCGGCCCCGCATCCCGCATCCCGCATCCCGCATCCCGGGCAGGAGCCGGAGGGGGCAGGAGCCCGGAGGGGGCAGGAGCCCGGAGGGGGCAGGAGCCCCGAGGGGCAGGAGCCCGGAGGGGGCAGGAGCCCCGAGGGGGCAGGAGCCCGGAGGGGGCAGGAGCTCCGAGGGGCAGGAGCCCCGAGGGGGCAGGAGCCCCGAGGGGGCTGTCCGACGTGCCCTCGGGGAGGCGGGGGTCGGTCCGGCCGGAGCGGCGGCTCCGCGTCTCTGACTCTGCCCAATGAGAGCCCGCAGCTCGGCGGGCGCCGGCAATATTTGGCCGCGGCCCCCGCGCTCCCATCCCCAGAGCGCCCTCGCCCTCCGCGCAAGGACCTCCATGGCCCGGCCCGGCCCCGCCGCCCGCCCCGCGCCGCTCGGGGGGCCCCGCTGAGCGCCCCCAGCCCCGCGGGGAGGGACCCCCCCGCC